TTAAATTTTACTTAATATTAATTAATTTAAATAGCCACACATGATTAATAGTCACACCATTGGACAGCACAGCTATTGAATGGCCTGTTTCTCCTTCGTGGAGAAGGAGGTAAGACCTTCCACAGGAACGGAGGAATACATGGGGTCAGAGAGAAGATGGTGCTGTTCATTGAGAGGTACTAGGTCTCTCAGTGGCAACTCTGGTTGATCCTCCCAAGAGCAATCTTGTAGTTTTAGAAACTTCACATTCTCTTCTTTTTTTGCTCATGATAAACATTCTCACAAAGATCAATTCTTTTGGAGAACAATTTTTATCATGATTAGATTCTGAGTGTTTTCTTACCTTAATGACAGTCCTGTCCTTAAATCCATATACCTGGGAAGCTGAATTGACTACCCCAAGTCTTCTTGATGAGGAAATGTGGAAATATAGGAGACTATTTACTCAGGCCAAAGTAGCTTCTGTGTTTCCTTTGTGGTTATAGGGAGGAAGTCTGAAGTCCTAGAAATAGTTCTGGCTTAGTATCAGAGACCTTGATTCAAATTCTGGTCCTCAAGAAAGTTATACAACCATTTTAACTCCACATCTATAAAATGGAAAGAATAATACCTATGAGATCTGTCCAGAAAAAGTCAAGCCATTGTTAATATAATGAGAATGGTTTGTGTGACATTGATGTAACCTGGTGGCCAAGAAAAGTGGGCCGGAATGCACATGCGTGAACAATGACAACTTCACTGTGCCAGTCAGTGGTGGCAGTAGATGACATTGAGTGAGCATGTGTACCGTGTGGCCATCACATTCAAAATGACTGAGGAAGTAGAGCAACGGATCGGCATTCAATTTTGCACTAAGCTTGAGCATTCCTCCACAGAAACTACTCAGATGATTCAGAAGACTGCAGTAATAGGCCACTGGTGATTGGCAGCTTCACCACGACAATGCGCCCACTCAGGCATCACATCTCATGCAGAGTTTTTGGGTAAAACAACAAATCACCCAGGTGACTCAGACTCCCCACAGCCCAGATTCGGTGCCCTGCAACTTCAGGCTTTTCCCAAAACTAAAATCACCTTTGAAAGGGAACAGATTTCAGACCGTTGATGAGATTCAGGAAAATATGATGGGGCAGCTGATGGTGACTGGGAGAACTGTGTGAGGTCCCAAGGTGCCCACTTTGAAGGGGACTGAGGCATCACTGTTCTGTGTACAATGTTTCTTGTATCTTGTATCTTCTTCAATAAATGTCTATTTTTCATATTACATGGCTGGATACCTTCTGGACAGATCTTGTACTTAGATGGTCTGTCACCAGTGTTACATATAATTAATAACTTATTTATATTGATTCCATACTGATTGCCAGCTAATGTGCTAGGTACTAGGAATAAAATGGTAGGCGAAACAGATACGCTTTTTGTTCCACTAGTTTATTCCACTAGCTTATGTTCTGATATATATATATATATATATGATTATTTGATTAATGCCTATATATATATATATACATGCACACACACACACTATAGAGTTATATACTATATCTTTATAATTCTGTTATATAAAAGTTCAGACTTTGATAGTCCAGGAAGGGAGAGTACAGATGGTTTTTTAAATGTTTGCAGATTGTTTTGACACACTCTCTCTGAAAGGTAGAATCTAATTCCCCTCACTCCCAACAATGAGAATATGGTAGAAATGATGCTATGTGTCTTCTGAAGCTAGCATTTATAGTAAAATTTATCTACCCCAATTTATTAGTAATTACTTCATGTTCCTCTATCTAGTTTTCCCTGCATTGTTGTTTTGCTGCCTGAATATATATCCCTAAACAATGCTGTTAAATTTTGCTTGTTTTTAAACTTTATATAAACATAACAATACTACATGGACTCTTTTATTTCATGCTTCTTTCACTCAATATTATATTTTTCAGATTCCTCTATGAATAAAGCTATGAAGCTATATATATCATTCATTTTCAATATTGTATAGTATTCCCTTGTGTGATTATATCACATTTATCCTTTTTACCATTATTGGACATTTGGTTTGCTTCTCATTTGGGGTTATTTAAAAAAATGCCCCAGATAACATTCTTGTATATGTTCCCTGGAACACATGTTCCTGAGCTTCTCTGGGCTGTATTCTCAATAGGAACTTCTGGGTCGGAGAGTAGCGTATCTTTAATTTCACTAGCTAATACCAAACTTTTCCAAAATTGTTGTGTCAATTTACACTCCTCTTAAAGAAAGGTGCTCAACTTCATTAGGAATGAGACAAATTGCATCATTATTATCAACACATCTTTACTTGTCTTAGAAAGTATTACCTTCCTGAGCCAGGTGCTTCTTAGGGTAAGTTCTATTCCACTGATTTTTCAACCTTTTTCATTTCATGGCACACATAAACCAATTACTAAAATTCTGCATCATATATATATATATATAATCTGACAAAAAATAGGTATAATTTTGATTCATTCACACCGAATGGCTCTTGTTAACTATTGTCATTGTTGTTGTTGTTGTTTTAATTGACAATCTAAGAGAAAAGAGGTCAGTGCCCCTGACTATTTATTGCATGTTTTAAAAATTCTTGTGGCACACTTGTTGAAAGCTGCTGTTCTAATCTACTGGCTATCCTTTCTAGTTTAAGGCTTACTCAAGACTTTCTATCTTAGCATGATTTGTGACCATTAAGAGGATTACTGTTTCTCTAATGTGTAACAAGTTAAGTTTCTTCTTTGGTAATACTTGGGGGTAACAAACTGCCTTGTATCATTAGTGATACAAGTAATTGTTACATCTCAGGATTGGCCACCCTGGCTGATGGTTGATGTTTAGCATTCTGCAGAGTACTGCATTTGAGCAATTGAATGGATGGTTAAGGGCATGAAATCTGGAACTGGACTGCCTCAGTTTGAATCCTCACTCACAACAGTTATTCTCATTTATGTGTGGTTCCCGTGGAAGTGTACACTTAGCTGAAAGAGACCCAAACCACATTCTAGAGGCTCAGATACAAGAGTATCATCCCAGTACACTGGCAAGTGACTGAATTCAAGTAGTGTGTCTGGCACAAGGAGCTTCGAGGGTTTTAGGGAGGAGATATCCAAATGAGCAGTCTTCCTGGAAGAAAAAATATGCATGGAGATGGGAGAAATTGGAGAAACTACTGGTCAAGGAGTCACAGTACATCATGAAGAGCTTTGAATCCCAGGCCAAGGAATTTTTTTAATTTAGTAAGGAATGGGAGACCTTGTACTGCCAGGTAGCTGTGAGATAGGAGCTAGACTCTAAAAGGCACCCAGGTGCACTGAGTTGACAAACAGTGATTTAGAAACCCTATTGTTTGGCTGCCACTACCATCAGATTCTATCAGATGCTTTTATAAGATGAGAATAGTTGGAAAGATATGTCTAGTACAGTTTTAATGCCCAATTATTTATGTTTTTACATGTTTCCAAAAACCAGTGCTAAGATGGCTGGGGTCTTTATTGTGAACTTCATTGTTACCTTAATATTGCAGACAAACTAGAAACAAAATACATTAGTTCCTGACTGTGGTGGTGGATACTTACGCAGGTGAGAATAATTGTATAGAACTAAATACAGGTACTTGCAAATGCTGGGGAAATGTACAGTTAGTGGATTGTATCCTGATTGTGATTTTGGAAGACATTGCCACTGGAGAGAACCAGGCAAAGTGAACAATTTTCTCTGTTATTTATTTAGTTTTACAATTGCATGTGAATTATTTTTCTCAACAAAAATATCAACAAAAGTATACACTAGTAAGTGAGTCACATTCCCCTTCTTCCAGTTATCTGTATTTAGGGGATTCCTGGGGCAGTAAGTTTGGCGCCATTATATACCTATTCCAAGGCCCCAACTGGAAAGAAGAGCAAAGTGCCTAGAAAGGATGAGGCGAACAGTGCAGGTACTGCTTTGCTATTTTGATCTAAATGAAACTGCAGATGACAATTACCCAAAATTTTGACCGTTCTGCCAGTGAGTCAACTTTACCCAGCTGTTTTCTGATTTTCCCACTGAGTCTGCCATGTCACTTTTGGATCACCATCTCCAAAGGTAGGATTAAAATAATTCTTATTATGGAAGTGAAGTTTATCCACCCCTCCCCCCCCACGCACACACACAAGGTGTGATGTGATGTTGCTGGATATATAGCATTTTATAATTTAGGGAGCTTTTACCCTATACATTACTTTGGAAAAGTACAACCCACAGCGATGAGTGAGCTTCTTTTAATGAGTGACTTAAAAGAAGACTGTGCTAACAGGGCAGGGTTATTTCCAACTTTGTCATTATCATTTCTCTGCTATGCTAAAGGTTTTCTTCCCAACAGTAGGGCCGACTTCGACTTGAAAGAGAGCCCTGAACTTTTATAAAGTGAAAGAAAAGAGTGGAAGAAATGGCAGGCTGGGAATCCGGCCCTGGGAAGGCGTCCACCGCGCTGGAGGACAACCACCTGAATTTCCAGAAAAAAGAACTTCACTTCCCCTGACTTGCGGATTTTCGCGAGTCCAGAAGCTCTCTTTCAGGCCGCCTAAGCTTCCCCGTCGCGGAGAAGGTAAATTGAGGCAGGGCTGACACGACGCGCGCTGCCCCAGCCTCGGCACCGCCCCAAGGAGAGAACCCAGGCTTCCAGAGTTCTTCGCGCGGAGGCAGACTCCTCCTGGCCGCCCTCCTCCGGTCCGCCCCGCCCAGCTCGGGACAAAGCCCGGAGCCCGCGCCTGGAGGAGGCAGGGCAGCTCCCGCGCGCGCCCCGCTCCTCCGTGGGCGCGAGACTCCGCCCCGCCACCTCTCAGCGGGGGGAGCCCGCGCCCCAACAGCCAGGCTGCCCAGCCAGGCCCGCCCCGAATCCCCATGACGTCACCGGCGGCGGCAGGCCACGCCCCCGGCCCCGGGCGGCCGGCCGCATGACGTCACCAAGGCCCCACCCCTCCGGAGCGAGTTCGGTCCTGGCGTTCATTTCATTCCTGTCCTCATTCCGAACATTCTTAGCATCGCTCGCGCCGCGCCTCGCCGCCCGAGCCGAGCCGAGCCTCTGCAGCCGCCGCCGCGGCCCCGCCGCCCGCCGCGGGCGCCCACCAAGCACTTTGCAGACTCGCTTCCACCTTGTGGGTCAGTCTGCGCGGCGGGGCCCGGGCCCGGGGCGGCCGCGTCCGGGGACAGGCCATGCAGTGAAGCCCCCCCACCCTGTCCACCTTTGCCCGGAGCCGCGGGCAGCAGCCCAGTGCGCCCAGCCGTCCCCCGGGCAGGAGCGGTGCTAAGTAGGGGTGGGGTAGCCCAGCTTGGGGACCAGGAGTCAGGGAGGGAGCCGGGCACCCAGCTGAGGGCGGGGGAAGCGGCGCCGAAGTTTGCCTTGGACTCACCGGGCGCTGCGGCGGCTCCATTCGCTAGGTAAGTTGGCGCGCGGGGCTGTTGCTGGGTGCGAGGGGCACACGGGGCGCCGCGGGGCGGGGGGCCAGGGGCGCGTTCCGCTCTGGCCGCTCTTTCATTCCGGGCTCTGCTTTGTGTGCGGCGGGCGGGCGAGCGGGCACGAGGAGGTCCGGCGCCGGGCCCCCGTGCCCGCCTTCCCGCGCCCCGTTCAAGGTGAGCGGCCCAGAGCCGCCGCGCGAGTTGCCGGGACGCCAAGTTGGGCTGCGCGCGGCGGAGCCCGCGCGGCAACAGGCGGCCCCCGATGGCGGCCCTGGAGGCGCCGGGCCGGCCGCGCCGCGCCCCCCGCGCCCCCCTCTCCCGCCCGCACGCGCACACACACGCACATACCCTCACATCGTCCGGCCGTTTTCACGTTTTTCTTGGAGAAGTCAGAAGTTCGAACAAGCACGGGCGGGGAGAGCCGCCCTGGGAGCCCGAAGCCGGCTCGACCCCCCCCTACAGAGCCTCCCGGGCCGCCCCAGTCTTCTGGGCGCCCCAGAGGAGGGCCCAGGGTCTTCGCTGACTTGTGCCACGGGCGGGGGTTTCGCTCCTTTTCAAAGATGAAAGAAGGCACGGTCGTCTTAGCCGCTTCTCCAGGACTGTTGCTGCCGCCGCCGCTGCTTTATTGCACATTCAAGTGGAAAATTTTCAGGAGTCAGCAGAAACATTGTGTCCAAAAAAGACTGAGTCGCAGTTACCACCAAACCCTGGAGGAGACTTTCCCTGGAATACTTCCCTTCGGTAGGAAATACTGGGGGATTTGTTTGTTTATTGGAAGAGAAATGATCCCCAGGAGGGGAGAAAAATCAGGGTGCACTTCTAGTCTTTGTTCGTAGCAGCAACACTTGTTTTGAAAAGTCCAGAGGCCCGCTTTAAAGAAAGTTCAACTTCTGTGAGTTTCCTTTTTTAAAAATGTGTATTTTTTTTTTAAACTGAGGCAACATTTTAAATGAGTTGAAAACAATGGAGGGCTCACACCTCCCTATTCTCCTCCCACGACAGAAAGAAAATCTAGATCACAATTTTCCTTGCTTTTTAATTTTTTTTAAAGATTTATTTAAAGTCGAATAGTGTCACTAGGTAAAAATATTTGTGAAACAATGAAATACCAGACACCAGCATTTCTCAGAAGGCTTGTTAACTTCTCAGAAGCAAGTGGCTGCCTGTGATTTGCAGAAATCAAAATTGACCTCAGTAAGCACTGGAAACTTAGAGACAGATGATGTTGCAGGAGCGGGTAATGTAAAAAAGCCATCTTTAAAAAACAGTGCCTTGGAGAAAACCCAGATCCTGGGACAGAAAGGTCTGCAAAACCTATCATATTTCAAAATAGTATAAAAATAAAATAAAATGCTACAAATATTGGAAAGAGTAGAACACTATCAGTTCAGGACAACCATATGTTTCTTTCTCCCCACCTTTCACTGATTGTTTCTGGAAGTTTAGGTGGTCTGATCATAGGTGGTGTGCCGCGTTCCTGCAGGTGGTTACCTGAGCAGACAGATCCCTTTAGAAAGACGCGATCTCCCTACGTTGTCAGTGCAGCGAATGTGCTCCTTTTCTGCAGCCTGCCATGGATCTTGTTTGTTTCTGATCCATGGGGGGGATTCTCTGCTGGAGTACCCTGGAGGCAGGGGTTGGGGCACAGACCTAAGGCTGTGCCAGTGCTTCATCCTTTCACAGTTGGGTTTGTGCCTTTCTGTAAATAGGATCTTTGGGCCCAATCACATTTGAATGCTTATACGGGCCAGACTTAGATCCAACTTTGGTAAGAATCTTTTCTCTTTAGAAGGAAATAGAACTAATTACAGAGTGACTCAGGAAAGACAAATGGATTAGTTGAGCCTTTGTCAACAGTGAGGTTTTGAATTGTTGATAATTTTTTCGGGGAAAGGCTTGTTTTTCTAATCTCAGTATTTCCATAAATGGTCACAGATATTTTTGTTTAGCATTTCTTTGTATGTGCAACTCTGTGTTGAACTCTCAGGTTTCAGGTTTTAAACGGAGTTTACAATTCTTTTATTTGTTGTTGGTATAAAAAAAAAAATGAACTGATAAGCAGTATCCATTACCGGTTCTTGCTGATGGTATAAAAGTGCCAATGTAGACCATTTTATTTTGACTTAAATGATAAGTATTATTTGATCCACAGTTTTAGGGGACTATTAGAATACCTTTTCTCTTTCTTTCCTTTTTATTTTTTCACAACTTTGAAACAAAATCAGTGTGACACTTTGCACTGACAGTGAGAGTAAAAAAATATTAGAGGAAAGAATCTTTGTTTAGAGTCCTCCTCTGTGTGATCTTTTGTAAGGTAATAAATAGAATTCAATCCAGAGAATATGCCTGAGAGATTATTGGAGTTTTTTTTTTTCTTTTCCCAAAACATAAACCAGGACTCACCATGACATATATTTAGTGAAATTTAATTTAAGGAGGGAGGGCAACCTAACTTGGATTGAGCCAGACTGAAATAAATTTCTCACCGAGAGGTGCTTCCTTGCATTGTGGTACAATGTGTATCTGCACTGCAGCAGCAAACTAATTACACATAAGGGGGAGTTGGGGTGGGGGTGCCGCCTGGGGGAAGTCAGCTTTCCCCTCCTTCCCTGTCTTCTCTACCCATCTTTTGCTTTATACAGCAAGAATTCTATATTCATGCACTTACTTTGGGGATTGGCATCCCCTTTTATTTAGAAAAAGGACAAGCTGGTCTTAAGGAAAACCAGTAGTTTAGGGTTTTTTTTTTTTCCTGCTTGAGCTTCAGTCATTTATAAACAATTTTGAATTCTGCTGGCTCTAACAATACAGAACAGCAAGTATAGGAGGGCATTTCTTCATGGGGAAATTTGGGAAGATTATACTTGTGGTTGTCTGTCATCTGCATGTAGATCATATTTGTTGTCACATTTTCGGTAGAAAAGTATGTTACAGGGACAGAGAATGTAGATCCCAAACGTTACACAGGCTGGTGAAGAAATGAGCTGTGCCATTAACAATATTTTAACATGTCTTGCTTCAGAAATGGATTGATATCTCATACGCAGTGGTTGTACCCTTAAGGGGCTGCACATCTGTGGAATTACTCTTCGGTCTAATCCCATGTGTTACTATGTGTTAATTGTGAGCATAATTATATTGCCTGCAAGTGAAAATTGTTGTGTTTTATCACTCAGAAGTTTGGTTCAAATAACTGCATTGCATGTATGATCTAGAGTACGTAAGATTACCATGTTCACATACAGATAGTATGTAGATAACACTTTTGAGCTTGTGTTTTAGGCACCTAGTTTTGTTTCCAGTAGATTGCAGAAGGAGAATAAAATATTGCTGAGTGAAAGCTGTGCTTAGAGGTTGGATCTGTTCAGTGATAAAACTTTTTTAGGCCTGTTTTCTCCAAAGACTGAAGAATGCTGTCCAGCTTTCTTTGTAGAACTGCAGGGAAATCAGAGCCCACCTTTCTGTTGATAAATGCAGGCATTATAGCTTCCCTTTTTGAGTTCAGTGACTGAAACAGCACAGTGCTAATGTCCTACTTCTGAACCTGGTAAGAAAAATAATTGTAAGCTTTTTGCCCTTTCACAAACTTAGGCTTTGCTGCTGGGCTATCAGGGACTGACTGATGGCTGGAATAATCTTTTATAGTTTCGTGGTGCTTTTTAAAAATTTTATCTGTAGAAGACACAGATTACCCTGTGGCATTTAAATTAGATCCCAGTCGTGTTTGAACAATATCAGTGATGTATTTTATTCTTTCATATTCACAAAGTTGATAAAATCAAATAATTCAGGTTCATATTAAGCACTTAATGTTTCAGGGTTAGGTTTTTTGACAAATACCAAGTTAGACCTCCTTGTCTCTTGCAGTTACTGGATACTTCTGAAATCAGGGAGGTAAGGGCCTTCACTATTCTGGGGTAGTTTTTGGAAAGTTAGAATGTTTGGATCTAAATATCTGGAGTGTTTTGTGTGGGTGTTTATGTTGGTTTATTTCAGAGCTATTAGGTATTGAGAGTTCTTAGTCTGCAATATACTCATCACAAGCTTCCTTGACCTTGTCCTATATTTAAATTCATAGTTGAAATTCCGCCATTTCTTCAGATTCATTTGGGCTGTGTAGTGGTGCAGAATAAGAGAATTTTAAAATATGTATTTTTATTTTAGTCAAGGCAAACGGGACGCCCTGAACAGTGGGTTTTCAGGATGGTGTTCCTTACAGGGCGGCTCACTCTCAGCTCTTAAGTTCTTTTGTTCACTGACTTTTTGCATGGTTGGGAGGATTCTTGAAAAATAGTTTCCATAGTCTGGGAGTCTTTGGCTAACTGTGAAACCACTGGTCTCTCTTCTGATTGGATTTGGGGGGGTTGGTTCTAAGAGGCTGTCTTTTCTACTTTTGTGGCCGGCCAAGGGAAGGCTCCATGCTGGCATGATGACCCCCTCTCTCCTCCCCCCCAGTTTTTTAAAATTAGTATTTGCTATCCTGATGCAATGCTTTCTGCCTTTTTCCACATTAGTTTAAAAACTAATTAAGTAAGGCTCTGCCCTAGGATTTCATTAGCAGTTTTAGTTTAAGGGACAGAGCCCAGGATTGGAAAATGGGTTTCAAAGAAAAAGCCAGGTTATTGATGAACAAGTTGAGTCACCATCACCTCCAGCGGGAAATTCCGGTTGCTTTTAGGCCTCGGACAGATTTAGATGTATGTGTGAAGTGACTGAAACACTATTGACTGGGAATATACAACAATGACGAGTGCTGTTGTTTTTACTGATATATAAACTGAAAAACTGCTGCTAATGGTGGGAAATGTTAATTATGTGAGAACATATTGAACTTATATTCTCTGGCATGAACTTTTAAAAAAATGCATGAACTGCGCTGCATTTTTATAGGCACAGCTTTCTAATTATCATAATTCAGTTCAGCTCTGCTCTTGGATGGAGTTCAAGTGCAATCTCAATTTAACTTGAAAGGAGACTTTTTT